CGGAAACGTATGCTGTCTGTATATCTTGCCTATACAACAACATTGTCGACAAACTAGAACTCTCATTGACTTACGTATTTATAATAAAATGGTTAAAAAGAAGAATATCCTCCACTTTTTTCAAACACAATGAGAGGCATGTAAAATCTTATAGATTTTGTTAGCCCTATACACAGTGGCGGCTCTAGAATATAATTTAGGGGGGGGGGCTAAGGTGTCCGACTGGGGGCCTAAATATTTATGGGTGTAGCTAGCGTGCAGCGTTATCTAAGGGGGCCGAAGGCCGGAGCCTGGGTTGGGTATGGGAGGGGTGCCCCCTACTCCCAAAACGAGATTTAAAAAAGAAAAAAAAATTTGTACTTCTAGATGGCTTGAAATGGGATGGGAAAACTAGGCCTATTTTTTCCCTAATTTTTTTTTTGGTCCGACTGCCCGATGAGCTTTGGCCGATGGGTGGGGGGGGGCGCTTGACAGGACCGATGGGGGCATTACCAGACCGATGGGGGGCTTAAGCCCCCGTCTCCCTCCCCCGATAGTGCCGCTAAAGCCTATACATCCGTAAACGATCACTGGAGTATTGTGATTGACTGCAGTAAATGGACCAGAGATTTTTTTCGTGGGTGGGGGTGGAAGTAGTGGTCAAGAATGAGGATTGCAATTAGATTTAATTAATTACATTTATTATACTAAAAACTTATATAATATAAAAATAATATACAGTATAACATATAATATAAATAAATAAATAAAATATAAAATAGTATAGGCCTATTGTCAGTTGGAATATTTTCTGCTAATTTCAATAAACAATTTTTTCAAGTGTATTTCATTCTTAATTTTAATTCTTGTTTATATTAAACAACCCGAACTTTATAATTTTAACATTTGAATGATGTTTTCTGTATATATCTGGAGATTTTTCTGTCAGTTCAAAACATAATATTAAATAGGTGAAATAAAACAAAGTACAATATAGGCCTAATTGATATTTTGAGAACGAAACACTAAAATCGATAACGAGAAAGTTAGCAAATCAAGATTTGTAGGCCCTTATACTGTACTACAGGACTAGACTATTGTTTAAATCGAACGGTGAAAATTGTCCTCGAATTTCGCCAGGTTATTTTAATGAGGAAACCGGACAGGAAGTGAGAAATGTTAACATATTGCAGTCGCAAAGAAAAATTCAACTTGACGTAATATTCATGTGACAACGTTAGGAGAGGCTTTGCCGTTCGAGCTTGAAAAATTCAACTTGTCGTAAGAATCGTTACCAGCTTATTTTGTCTGCGGCCCAGAACGATCAAGACACGGCTGTTTTTGTCCAACTTCTCGTAAGAATCGTATGAATCGTAACAAATTCTGAATTTTACGTCGACAGGAAACCAGGCTTCAGTAACAAGAAATATCTCCTTTGCATTTGTTTGCAAAACACACACAACTTTAATAACTTTTCCTGCATTTACTTTTACTTATATCTGAACACGTAATGTAAAATAATGAATATACTGTATTCTTTTGATTGTAAACTAATGTAAGGATGTAATCGACACTGCACAAGATAACATCGGTTGCTAAAACCTCCACTGCAATATCTGACAGGAACTAATTTTCATGATGTAAATATTACAAATGTCACCAGCTACGAATGTATACAAAATTGGGTTAATTTGTTTAAATTGTGATTTGTGTAATTTAATTCTAATTTTTCTATATTATTTGCCATTTTTTGTTTATTTTTGATGTGTGGGTGGGATTGCCCCAAACCTCATATCCACACAGACTTGCTGTATTTTTGAATATAATTTTATAAAATTTTTTTATTTTTAAACTTCAGTGAGATTGGGCAGTTGTTAGTTGCTATTTTAACTTTTTATAATTATGTAATTCTATATTTTATTTTCTGCCTTTTATTGTAAATTTTAACCTTTGGATATATTTATATATATATTTATTATTGTTTGTTAATTAAGTGTCCCCCTTGGCGGCAGAGAAAATTTGTGCAGCAATTGAGTTTGCTTTTGTTTAATCCTGTCTCTGTCAGGGGTGTTTTGTTTTTGTTGTACATGATTTTAAAATTGAACGAAATAAATGAAATGTCTGATCCATTTCAGTCTCATACAAGCCCGTAGCCAGGATTTTGAAAGGGGGGTTCTTTCTGATACTGACAGGGCACTTGCGAGTGAAGCAAGCATCATTGGCTGGGGGCCAGGGGGTGAAGCCCCTGAAGCTCCAGCATTCTAGACATTTACAGGTGTTTATATTTAATTGATTTCAGAGGCCATACATTAAAAAAATGTATTTATTTATTTATTTATTTATTTCAAAAATCATCCAACAGCGGAAGCAATTACAGGATGTCTTATAATACATATAAATATATAGAAAAATACAAACAAGCGAAAGATAAATTGATAAATCACATTACAGTATAAAATGGAAAAGAGAAATTTACAAATATATTGCGAGAAATTACATCTAAATTACAAATTGATTAATTAAATTACAGTATGAAATGAAATAGAGAAATTTACAAGAAAATTGCACAAAATTACATCTTAAGCTAAAAATAGCAAGTTCCAAAAAATACAGATAAAAAAATCCAGATAAGAAAATAAACAAATAAATGCAAAACAAGTAAATTATTGATAAAATTACATTAGAAAATCGGAATAGGTAAAATTTTTATAAAAATATTGCGAATGACATCTTAAGAGTTGCGAAAAAACACAAAGACAAGACAAAAAAAAAAAAAAAAAAAAAAATCGAAAACAAAGCAGACAAAATACAAAAGAAGAAAACACATAAGAAAAACAAAAAAAAAACAAAAAAAAAAACGGACAGAACAAAGGTCAAACAGAAACACACACACACACACAAATTAAGGACTTAACCCACCCAGAAAAAAAAAAAAATATTAAAGTAAGTACAGTAATTTGAGTTAGGCAAAGATAAAAAACGAAACAAAAAAACAACTACTACTTTTAGTGCTACAGTACTGGTAATTTAACAAGAGCCTACAGTAGCATAATACAAACCCCAAGAAACCAGTTATGGTTTATTCTTTCAAGTTCTTTTTTATTCTTTTTAAGAAATAAGAAGTACTGTATGGCTTATAGCACTTTGGAAGTTGTATCATACTGTACTCACTCAAAGACAAATCAGTATACATAAAAAGAACCAAGACAAATTTGTATGGTTGGTTGTAGTGTATTATTATCCCGATTATTATTATATATATACAGGTGAAACTATCCCCCACCGGACACCATCCCGGTATTTCTGAGTCAAGGTTTCGGGGCCTGAATGGTCATACTGCAGAATAAAATATTGCATCCATAGTAATATAATATAATATTATGATTTACTAGTATGGTTCGTATGGTTGGTTGTAGTGTATTATTATTATATATACTGTATACAGGCACAGCGTCGGCAAAGCAGAAACAAATCGCAGGGTGTCGGGTAGCTCTCTCTAGCATGCCGGTGGCCAACGGCAGACCTGCCAACCCTTGGGTCATGAATATCAGGAGATTTTTTTAAGAATCTTAAACAAATCAGGAGATTTACCAAAAAATTAACCAAAAGATGATGCATTGCAAGATACCAAAAAAAGTCACGTTACTACAAATCATTGGCCGTTATGGCGACATTCGAATTGAAAATGGCTGCTTGTTTATGCACCGTGAAGCGAGCAGGCGGCGAATACATTGAATAATAACGATCAAATCAATCAAATTATGCATAAATCGGAGTATTTTTGGGGAGATGGGGTGGCCTGTGAAATCAGGTGAAAATTACATTCGATCGGGAGAACTGGAGATTTGTTTAAATATCGGGTGATACCCGACAGGATCGGGTGAGTTGGCAGGTCTGCAACAGTCATATCGGGACGATCCACGATACGCTCTGCTGCTGCTCTGCCCTAGTCTGTCCCTACTGTATATTGGGCGGGTAGGCCTACACGGTCGTACATTAAATAATAATGGTGTAACAGTTGAAAATGCACAATTTTACTAGGTAGACCTAACAATCGGGTAGTAGTAGGAGTAGTATATTTCATGCAACAAACTATGGAATTTTTCCCATAGTCATCGTTCTAATGACTGGGTTAATAATGTGGAGAATCGCTCTGAGTCTTAGGTGTATAGAGCACTATATAAAAAACAGCATATTATTATTATTTTTATTATTATTACCCCCTCTGTTGTAACAGCTTTTTTGGCAATACAGTACATGCTAAAATAATGGGACAGCCCTGAAATACTAATAGTGATTGCTGGTACTTAGTAATTCCTGGTCCGTCAGTCTGACTGGCTGATGGTGTCCCTATATAAGTGTTAGTCTGGAAATAAATCCTGCCCTTCTCCCTTGGCTGCCAGTGCTAATGCTGCTCCCAAGGCGGCCTCCTCTCCCTCTGCTTGTAATCCTTCCACGAGAAGAGGTGAGAGATATGTGTGCTATACATGTATGGGCAACTATAGTTAGGGTAAGAGTACAGTACTGCACTTGATATCTCTATCTTTAGGAATGAGGACGTTCTAGAAATTAATGGACCTACTTCTCGGAAATACTGAATTGTAGTGTACTGGTTACTTCATCTGTGAGTATAATCATTAATAAAATAGTCTGTTGGCTCTCATAGAGAATTTGACGTTTGTGATACCATACTTGTTCTTTTATTTCATCTGCAACTTGTTGAAAGTCAACGGAATACCACCGTTGCCTTGACCACTGCGATCGAGGCTCGGATAAGAAAGAGCATTACAACATCAATACCAATGAATCTATGATTTAATTCTTACCTATTTAAAGTCCTCATATTCTGTAGAACCCTCATCTTTGGGACACACCTGTTGGGATCTCTTATTTGGCTGTTTTAACATTATGGGCAACCTTATCAGAATAATATTCCATTTGGTTCATAGCCAAACTTGTCATATGTACATTGAATTATAGAATGGTGCACCATCAAGTCGATGGCCGCTCCTAAAAACAATAGCATTTTCCAAATAAATTGATTGATGTTTTGTTACTATTGTTACCAAACCAGTTGATATGTTTTATCTTTTTATTCCATTAGACATTTAATAGGTTCCGTTTGCGCGGGTTGAATACTTGAATGTGGACACTGATATACACCCTAACTAGGCCCTAGTACTACCTAAGGCTCTAGGCCTAGCCTATGCAATTTTCTTTGAAAACCTGGCACGCATGTGAAAAAAAAAATGCAGGGAGTCAGGTCACCAAAATGGGAGTCTGCCAATGTTGGCATGTATGGCTACTACTACTGGGCCTAGGTAGGCCCATTTAAGGCCTAGGCGGCGCTAATGCACTTTAGTACTGTAACACTTCTATCTTCAAAAATAGTATTTTCGCCTACTGTGCACTACTACTGTCTCTTATACACATCTAGATGTGTATAAGAGACAGGCCTAGAGGCTTGCTTTAGCCTAGCTAGGTAACATCGTTCGTTCATACACACATGTATTGAGTCTTACGTACGTATTAGGTCAAAGGTTACCACAAATTTAACCCAACCTCTATTTTACGAATCCCCTGATTTACGTACGCACTCCGGTCCCGTGCCGTATGTAAATTCAAGGTTCTACTGTATATCCACCACAAGAGTGTTGCTCATGGCACTTTGTGCAATTTAACTTGTTTTTCCAGTATCACAAACCACGCCCAAACCACACCCATATACAATTCAGCACAATGAAAATTCAGCACAATGATGCTGCAAGTTATGGCTTATTCTCCTACCTTTATACTTTTATGTTACTATTTTCCAAGTGTATTATTAATAAGTGATAACTTGTTGGAATGGATAAAATCTGAGACTTGTTTTCCAAGGTGTCATTTTTGTAGTGAGTTGACTACTCCTCTCTGAAGAGTGTACTGTATTTGGTGTTTAAGACCAATATCTTAAATGTCTTTTACGAAAACCTGCGCTATTTTAACTTGAATTTCAGTCCTCCTGGTAAAACAAAAGGAGAGCACAGATGGAATTGAGCGAGGGACTGAGGGTCTTGAAAGATTTGTGCATCACAGTAGCTACCACCAGTTCAGCCGCCTCAGCTAACTTACCCCCTTATGCTCTCTTTGCTTTGGAGACAAGATGCTAATGATCATCATGATACACCTAAATGTTGATTATTGAATATTTTGACAATTATAATATCAAAAGTAATTTCCTTACTTGCAAATTAATGTTATTGATAGTGGTATTATATTTACTTTATTGTAATTAATATATAGTGGTATTATATTTACTTTATTGTAATTAATATATATTGGTATTTTATTTACTTTATTGTAATTAATATATAGTGGTATTATATTTACTATATTGTAATATATATATAGTGGTATTATATTTACTTCATTAATACTTAATATATAAATTGTGTAATTTTAAAATTACAATATTAAACTATTGAATCTTGTATTGTATATGGAAAATATCAATAAACAATAAACAAATGTTTCCACAGTAACTTGTACATTCAGCTTTTTCTGTTGCCAAGAGACATACTGTAAGATGTCAGATTTGTTCTGTATTGTTGAGTGCAGTGAAAGTTGATAAAAATGCTAGAAAGGTAAGATAAGCATATACCACTATTTAACTCAAAAATCAGTTTTTGGAAATTTAATAACTTATCATTTTATGTCAATTATATTCAATCAGTATTTAGTAATTATTGTCATTTGTGGCAAAGACAAGGCCAAATCAATCACTGGTCACAAACTTAAAAATTTAAATATACTTTTCAAAAAACATAAAAACAGCATAGGAGACTATAATTGCATTTATAAAAAAAAATTACTAATATCAATGTAAACACATAATTATTTAGATTGTAATTAAGATCTGATGAATTATCCTGATAATATTGGAAATGCATTCAATGGTTTTTTTTTTGTTGGAATTGGGCCCTCTCTAGCAGATAAAATAACTCAATCAAATAAATCATATAAAGACTTTCCGTTCTTTCAAAAATAACAAATTGCCTGGCATTGATGATCTCCATGTCAGAATTATTAAATGATAAAGTTCTATATTTTGTTTCCCTCCCACTTTGCCACATTTTTAATCTTTCCCTAGGATCGAAAGGCGTGTTCCCACACACAACGAATAAGCTGGCCCATGTTACACCTATATTTAAATCATATCTGATCACTCTAATTATCTTCCTATCTCAGTCTTATCCGTCTTCTCAGAGGTTGTAGAGAGTAATTTAGTAATAGAACAATAGAATTTACAATTGAGTGTACTTTTCAATAAACAGTTTGGATTCAGGAAATGTTAAGCACCTCTATGGCTGTAATTGATCTCACTAATAAAAGTGTTGAAGCCTTTGATAGTAACTGTCTAGCTATTGGAATGTGTTGATCTCTCCATGGCCTTCTGTACTATTGGCCACCAAATTTTCTTATCCAAACTATTTCATTATGTACTGTAGCATCATTCTGTTGGGAGTCCACAGAAAACTAAGTTTATTGATACTTAAAGCATAATAATATTTATTGATAAATATGAATTGTGTTCAAAGTGCCAAGTTCTTGGGAGTATTTTAAATAGTGAGAACAAACATAATGAAATTGTAAACAAATGCTCTAAGTTAAGCATTATTTTCAGACTTTCTTTGTTTCCCCCCCCCCTTCCTTGATGTCCTTCATATTCTGTATTGCTCTCAATCCTTCCTAATTTGAGCTACTGTAACATTCTTTGGCGCAATATACCTATCCATCAAATATTTAAAAAAAATCCAAATTATGCAGAAAAAATGCTATCAGGATTCTGGCACTCCTCCACTGTCTCACTCTTCCCCTTTATTTTTAAATTTAAACCTTCTTAAACTACCTGATATTAATTCTCTTCAACAGTGTACATTTTTGTACTCATCCATTCAATCTATTCTATCATATATTTTGCAATATTTTCATACCAAATTCTTGTCTATATAACTTCAGTACAAGAGATCTGATATCCATATCCCCACAAACAAACCATTTCCAGCATTAAATTAGATTTTCTGGATCTAAACTTTGGAATAGCTTGCCTGATACAATCATTCTCCTTTTCTAGGAAATCTTTTTCCATCAAACTTAATAAAAAACACTGTATTTCTTTGATGTTTTTATATTAATGTTCTGTATTATTGTAAGTATCATTTAATTCAGTCCTCAACTGCGATTTTGATATTGAATAAAATAAAATGAAATGATTTCAAATTACTAAAATATAATTATATACACACTTTTTGATTGTTGTCACCTTGGTCTTACTTTTTTTCTATACTTTCCCTGATATACTTCTGTTAGCTTCCTTGTTACTTTATCTAGGATGATGGTCTTCATGACAGACTTAATAATCAAATTTTTAAAACCGCTTTTTTAATGAGTACCAGACAGGCTGCTCGCGTTGCAACTGCATTTTTTATTTTTCAAAAATCGGTTTTCGTGACAGAAATTACGTCACCATTTTGTTTATACAACACATTGTTTTCCCAACTGTATAGGATAGTATCTTTCTTATTCCTGTCATGATGACGAGGAGTAAGAAAGATATGGTGTGGGGCAAGAAGGCAAATGTTTATGGCTATGCTCATCGGCACAATGAACGAGTGACCAAACGAGGACAACGGTAGATCCAAAAGAGCGGAGAGGCCTAGTCCCAATATCCCCCCACAAAATAATTACAAAACGAATTCGTTGCTCCACATGTTTGTTGATGTTTTTAGCTTGTAGGCCTAGGACATGAACAAGAGGACAAATTTCAATCGAAAGTTCGCGCCTAATACGATATAGTCTTTGCAGTGATTGACCTGGAGGTCACATTTCACCTGATAATCGCTTTTTTGTGTTGCAGCTAAAAGGTGCATAGCCAAAATCGGTTATTTGCCGTTCAAACACGCTATCCATTGTGTGTTTTTAATCTATTTTTTTTTTATGGATTTTTTCAAACTGGTCCTGTTTCTATTGCGAAAATAACAGCGATTTTTCAATAAAGCGATTTTTTAATTGATTATTTCTTTCCGGTAGAAAGAGGCCCTTAGTATCATAGCTGACCTTGCATGGCCAATAAATTACACAAGCTATGATTATAATCCAATTAAAGAGCAATTACCAGAGAAAGGCCTAATGTCCCAAATGATGGTTAGAAATCAGGAAAATTGGTAAAGGCATTGAGGAATTAGTCTAAACTAATACCTCCATGGTAAAGGGTAGAAAAACCTCATGAATAATTTGCCTATCCAAGTAACGTTATTTTGACTGCCAATCCCTTAAAAATCTTAGTAGGCCTCTGGACCACTAAATCATAAAAACTCTCCCTGTGAACCTTACAAGGGAGTTTTTATTCCAGACCAGTGCTCGAGGCTTTGTCAGCCTCTTGTCTCGGATCCCTCCGCCGGACATGTCGGACCCCTTGTCGGCAAATTTCTGGCGCCACCGGTGGTGCTAGGGGAAGGAGTGTTTTTGTATTGGGGTGTTTAGGGTGTGATGTCAGCAAGCTATGGCAAGTAATATGTACTGGTACTTGTTATTAAAATCAGTAATTGAAGAGAAATAGCACTATTGTTAATATTTCATGTGTGGCCATTCGACTTGTGGCGAGTCAAATGGCCAAGCGGTTGATTAACCGTTCAAGAGGGTGCTGCAACCTACAGCCATAATATCGGTGCTGGTTCGAGAGGCTGAATAAGTCTTCTATGGTTTCTCTCCCTAAAAATTCAGTTTAGTTTTATCTTGAAGATTTATCCAGATTTTCTGGCAACACAATTATATACTGTATGTTTTATTGTGTGTAAAATGCCAGACTACTAGTATACAATAATGTTATTGGCAATTTTTGTTTTATATTTTACTCCAGTTATCGTCAGTATCGTGGTTTGTTAGCTGCAGAAGTAGTCCAGTTTTTTGCATTGTGCCATCGTTTTTTGACTTGATGCAAAATGACCCTGGAGTGATGCAGCTTGTGTCAGCTGCGTCTGGCGATGATCATCGAAAGTGAGGTAAAACTAGACTTAAATTTTATCAGAAATTGGTTTGATCAGACTGATTGTGTATCCTGGTGTCTAACATATCTGCTCAAACAAGTCATATGGATTTCCATGCCTGTCAGTACTTACCCTGAGAGCAGGATAGTGGATTTGACAAAGGTATTTTGTGGCAGAATGGCTATAACAAATTTGAGGCTAAAACTGATAGTCAAGTTCAGTTTGATTTTAGATACTTGCTTATGTACAGTAATTTTTAAATTGAATTTCCATGCATCCATTTATATTAAACATTTTAAGTTTTAGTAGCGGGTACAGCAGCAGACTCAAGATAAAGATGATTATTAGTAATTGGCTTCTATGTACGGAGGTCAAGAAGAGTTTAAGTGATATGATCGCATTATTGTAAATGAACATGATGTTAGGTTACTTTTCAAAAAGATTAAATTAGGCAAGTCTGCTGGTCCAGTTGGAGTGTCCTCCTCTTTGTTAAGACATTGCGCTAACAAACTTTTCCTATGTTTTTTGCAAGTTACTTCAATGGTCATTGGATCTTCATTCTGTTCCTCTCTCTGGAAATTTTCTTCTATTACTCCCATTCCAAGAAATCTACTGCTTCGTCTCTAAATGATTTCTGACCGATTGCTCTCACTGCTCTTCCTATGAAATGTTTAGAATCTATTGTAAAACATCACTTGCTTGTTAAGTGTGGATCTCTTCTTGATCCACTTCAGTTTGCCTACACAAAGAAACGTAGTGTAAATGATGCTTTCACTTAACTCTACTCAATACCTATACTCACCTTGAGAAATCTCGATCCTATGTTCGCTCTATCTTCTTTGACTTCTCTTCTGCCTTTAACACCCTACAATCTCATATTTTCCTTAATAAACCTCAACTTATGCAGGTCAACCCGCACCTTGCGCTATGTATAACCGACTTTCTCTGTAGTAGGCCTCAAGTAGTTAGGATGGTAATCTTAAGTCAGGTATTTTAATACACACTAATACAGGCGCACCTACTATCCCCTATCTTGTTCTCGCTATACACTAAACGAATTTCAAATTGAAGATAACTACTGTATCATGATTAAATATGCAGATGATACCTCCATATCAGGCCTAATACTTCAGGGAGACGAACTTGCCTATAGAAATTGTGTTAATCGATTTGAAACGTGGTGTAAGGATAATTATCTCCAACTAAATGCTTCTAAAACTAAAGAAATCATATTTGATTTTCATCAAAACAGAATGCCTTTAAATGCTATTAGTGTAACTGGAAACAATATACATAAATACTTAGGAATTATTGTTGACTCAAGACTTAACTGGAACTCTAACACACTGCTACTCTGAAAAAAAAAAGCTAATTAACGTCTTTACTTTTTACGACTCAAGTCCTTCAATGTCAGCACTGAGGTATTACTATTATTTTTTAAAAGTGTTATATTAAGTATACTTGCTAGCAACTGTATTTTATGGTACAGCAACTTATCTCAGGTCAATAAACATAAAATACTCAGAACCATGAAATCTGCTCGTAAAATTATCGGCTCTGATGTCGATAATTTTGATGACATATACTGTATACAAGAACTGTGCTGAAGAAGCTTGATAACATAATTAAAGACATGTCACATCCTATGTTCTTGCAATACACCTTTAATAGATCCAGTTGCTTACGTCCAATCAAGTGCAATACTAATAGATTAAGAAGATCTTTTATTCACAACTCAATCCATATGTACAATGATGACTTTAATAGATAAACTTCAGTATCTACCCTTGTAAATAATTGTATCATTTTGTATTTTCTGTTTTATTTTAATTTGTCCTTGATTAATTTTTTGTCTAACTTTTATACTAATTTCATTTTTGCATCGGGAAGACGAATTTTACTTGTATTTTATGTACCAGTGACAATAAAAGAATCTTGTATCTTGTATATTCATGCATACGTTTTTTAATGCAATTTACTAACAAAAATAATGTGAAATAACTGGTTTGTTGATCATTTCTAGAGCAAGACTTGGAACACAATTAATTCGATTTGGAACTGTATAGTGGTTTTTTTAAATTTTAATCTGTTATTACTGTATTTTATTTTTATTATTTTAATTTGAATAATTATACATGTAATATCTGTCAACTTTGTCCATTTTAGCATGGCCTGCCTCATAGATTCACAAATCCAAGCATTTGTATGATTGGAACCCAGGACCCTGAAATTGGAATTTAGGTTTATTGATCACCAAAGCTACAAATGTTTTCTAACCCATTTACGTGTGACCTCCACCTGAACAGCGTGTTTTGTTATTTTCAGGGAAACTCCAGACGGGTGGTGGAAGAAGCTAGTGAATTAATTATGGCATCTATCTACGAGAATACAAGCAATGTAATTGGACACAAAGTTCAAGCAAAAAGCCAGTCAAGATATGTTTTATCAGTGAGTTTTATATATTATAACAAGAGACAGATAACCATGGTAACTAGTATATAATTATTATAGTCTGTAGAAGCGTTACAATGCAAATTAACCTTTAATACCATTTAGCCTGTAATAACACTTTAGTATGCTAATGTTGATCCTTCAAAACAAGCTATTCTAATCCCTGAAATATATTTCTGAGGATATTTGTTTGTAATTTCTCATCAGACAGTGCATTTAGAGACAAAGGTGTGCAGATATCATGTATTAATAGAATAGATCTTTTCAAAACTTGGAATTGACGAATTCATTCAGCATTATTATTCAAATATTTGAGAATCACATGTATAAATTCATCACGTATAACCAGGTCTGCATAACACCACATTCTCACACATTTATCACTGTTAACATCAAGATTTAGAAGTGACTACCATTGCTAATTTTTGTATAATAATAATCTGCCTCAGATAATTTGAATATCGACTGCATGTTTGCACAAGAGTACATCATGAGTACACCATACCATAATTAGCTGTACAAGTGATGATGCACTGTTTGTAAAACATTTTAATACACTTTAATGTGCTATCAAATATAAGTGTAAATTTTTTAATTTCTTATCAGACAGTACATATTTATGGACATGGTTATCGTACATATAATGATAGATATATCATTTTTACACTTGTAATTGACCAATACAGTACATTCAGCATTGC